TGACATTGGTGTACTCATGACAAACTGTCCCTACATTTGTGTACTCATGACCAACTGTCCTGACATTGATGTGCTCATGACCAACTGTCCTGACATTGGTCTACTCATGACCAACTGTCCTGACATTGGTGTACTCATGACCAACTGTCCCTACATTGGTGTACTCATGACCAACTGTCCTGACATTGGTGTACTCATGACCAACTGCCCTGACATTGATGTACGCATGACCAAATGTCCTGACATTGATCTACTCATGACCAACTGTCCTGATATTGGTGTGTCCATTACCAACTGTCCTGACATTGATGTACTCATGACCAACTGCCCTGACATTGATGTAAGCATGACCAACTGTCCCTACATTGGTGAGCCCATGACCAACCGTCCTGACATTTGTGTACTCATGAGCAACTGTCCTGCTATTGGTGTACTCATGACCAACTGCCCTGACATTGATGTATTCATGACCAACTGTCCCTACATTGGTGTGCCCATGACCAACTGTCCTGATATTGGTGTACTCATGACCAACTGTCCCTACATTGGTGTGCCCATGACCAACTGTCCTGATATTGGTGTACTCATGACCAACTGTCCTGACATTGGTGTGCTCATGACCAACTGTCCTGACATTGATGTACTCATGACCAACTGTCTTGACATTGATGTACTCATGACCAACTGTCTTGACATTGGTGTACTCATGACCAACTGTCCTGAGATTGTTGTGCTTATGACCAACTGTCCTGACATTGATGTACTCATGACCAACTGTCCTGAGATTGTTGTGCTTATGACCAACCGTCCTGACATTGATGTACTCATGACCAACTGTCCTGAGATTGTTGTGCTTATGACCAACTGTCCTGACATTGATGTACTCATGACCAACTGTCTTGACATTGATGTACTCATGACCAACTGTCTTGACATTGGTGTACTCATGACCAACTGTTCTGACATTGGTGTGCCCATGACCGACTGCCCTGACATTGGTGTAATCATGACCGCGTGTGTCTCCTGCAATAACACTGACAGCTCCTTGTGTCTCTCTTACAATAACACTGACAACTCCGTGTGTTACTCCTACAATAGCACTGAAAGTTCTCTGTGTCTTTCCTAACATAACACTGACAGCTCCGCGTGTGTGTGTCGCACAATAACACTGACAGTTCCGTGTGTTTGTCTCCTGCAATAACACTGTCAGTTCCGTGTGTGTGTCTCCTGCCATACCACTGACATCACCTGGTGTCTCCTACATTAACACTGACAACTCCGTGTGTCTTTCCCACAATAACACTGACAGCTCCGCGTGTGTGTGTGTCGCACAATAACACTGACAGCTCCGTGTGTGTCTCCTGCCATACCACTGACAACTTCGTGTGTCTCCTACCATACCACTGACAACTCCGTGTGTCTCCTACAATAACACTGACAGCTCAGTGTGTTTCTCTAACGGTAACACTGACAGCTCCGTGTGTGTCCCCAACAATACCACTAGTATCACCTTGTGTGTCTCCTACAATAACACTGACAACTCTGTGTGTCTCCTACAATAACACTGACAACTCCGTGTGTCTCCTTCAATAACACTGGCAACTCCGTGTGTCTCCTACAATAACACTGACAACTCCGTGTGTCTCCTACAATAACACTGACAACTCCTTGTGTGTCTCCTTCAATACCGCTGACAGCTACGGACGTTTCTGGAACGATAACACTGACAACTCCGTGTGTGTGCCCTAAACAATACCACTCACATCACCTTATGTGTCTCCTACAATAACACTGACAACTCCGTGTGGGTCGAACAATAACACTGACAGCTCAGTGTGTTTCTCTAACGATAACACCGACAACTCCGTGTGTGTGCCCTAAACAATACCACTGACATCACCTTGTGTGTCTCCTACAATACCACTGACAACTCCGTGTGTGTAGAACAAAAACACTGACAACTCCGTGTGTCTCTTGCAATAACACTGGCAACTCAGTGTGTGTCTCCTACAATAACTCTGTCAACACCTTGTGTGTCTCCTACAACAACACAGACAAGACCGTGTGTGTCACACAATAATACGGACAACCTCGCATGTGTCTCCTACAATAACACTGACAGCTGTGTGTGTCTCCTACAATAACACTGACAACTCCTTGTGTGTCTCCTTCAATACCGCTGACAGCTACGGACGTTTCTCTAACGATAACATTGACAACTCCGTGTGAGTGTCCCATACAATACCACTCACATCACCTTGTGTGTCTCCTACAATAACACTGAGAGCTAAGACATTCTGTGTTATAATGACTGTTGTGATTATTCGACAAACGGGCCGTTCAGTAGCTCTTCCTTTTAATTCACTCACTATCACGTCTTGTATATCAAATAATATTAAAATTAAAAGTAACTTATACACAATATAAGGGAACCAGAATACACACCCAAATACAAACGTTTTAAGCCGGAATGTTTACATCGTGGCTGTGACAAAAACGTTGGCAGCACGATCGCAGTCAGTCTGACAGCTATTGTCCTTCACTACCGACATTGTTGAGATGGAATCAGAAGTTAATGTCACATCCAAAAATAGGTACCAGATGCAGCCCCATACACCGAGGGGGAATGTTTCACGCGACAACATTAAGCACTATCTGTTAAGCGCTTCTGATCCCGTATCCAACCAAATGGAAATAGTATATTTCATAGTTCTTAAAATGGGTGTGGGATATTCATTATGAGGCCGACTGAATACGTGACTGTAATAGTGCTTATTGTTGACATGACAGGTGCGTGACACAGTTGAAGCGTTCGGAATATTGATGATATTATAAAATATATGTTGCCTATAGAAACTTTTGGGTGAGATTTGACATTGTATCACCTTGTATGATTTACTGTAGAGCGATGTGACTTTCTCAATTAAAGTATATTGGAAGCCTGACTTAAGGTATAATAGTTGGACAGTGTTCATGCAGGCAGATGGAGAATGATGTATAAATCAATATGTGCGTGTGGGCAGTCAACTGTGACGCCGTACTTGGTAACAGATGAAGTTTAGCTTTGAAAACCTTACATGTATTTCTGTTTTGCTGACATGGAATCTACCAAAATGTCATGTTTGTGTAATTGCTTGCATGAAACTCAGAAAAGATCAGAAGATTTTGCTTACTACCGGATGAAGTTTAGCTTATCTAACATACATTATTGCTAGGCGTTTGTGTAATTATTTACATGAGGCCCTGTCGAGGCTGGTTATGCTATGGCAATGACGTTATAAATTTACTGTTAAGGGATCCATTTAAACATGCACTTGTTCTGGAACATCTTTCAATTGTATGAACTTTGATTGCATACAGCCCTCCTATTTTATACTTAGTCCCTGTCTGTGTAAAACAACACAAATGGTTATGTATATTTATGGACGCTCTTATCATGCATTTTCATGCACTTTCATACTACAGAATGGATAGCTGGTATTTCACACGTTCAGAATATTTGATTGAATTGTTAAATTCAAATAAGAAGACCGTTCCTTTCCGTTCTTGTGTTTAGTTTACTGTTAACAAAGTACATCTTCCAAAATTCAACCATCTGTCTACCGAAAACTGACAATTCTCCTGTAACTGCACTGTCGATAATGGCAGCTGATTTAACCAACATGCTGCATCCTCTATGATATGCGTTCGTCTCATTACCAAAAAGATTCCAACGATACTTTCAGCTGATATATTGTTTTGATCATTAGTTATTTCAGGTTTTGGTATTGAGACATGCACTTGTCACATGGAATTGAAACATAAAAATTGTGACTTTTGTTGAACAGCATAATCACATACACGAAGGTGAAGAAACATACTCGCGTGTGGTGTGCACACTCAGTGCTGGGGCAGAGGCAATGCTACATTGATTCCCAACAGCTGTCACTTGCTGGTTCTGTCAACACAGCCATTAAGGTATGTGTACTGATACATGATATGTGAAGCAATAAAGGCCAGGTGTAAAGATGTGTATCATGTAGTATACTATAGCATGAAATGTACAGTCGCAATTACACACTAGCATGATGTGTGTCCTATCAGTGTCTCATCTTACCTTCTGTTACTCATTCATCAATAACTAAACAGAGATAATATCAACGTTTAAGCATGCATCAGTTAACCCTTACTGTTGTAAACATCTATATTTAATGTACAAAAAATAAAGATGACAATTCTTTACCAGCTCAAATACAATGAATAAGCAAAGAATTTAGAAAATGGAGTGAGGGATGTTATCGTTATATGTTGGATAAGGTGCCATGTTTGTAGAAAGCAAAGGATTTATGAAGTATTTTCAAGCAGAATACATTTGTGGTTCATTCTATATTTATTGTATATAACAAATTTATGATGGCACTTCTTTTACCAGTTAAAATACAATGAATGAACAAACATGTAACAAATGCTTTGGATTTGTTGGAGGCGCAACCATGAATTATTTAAAGTAGCTCGCAAGGGTTTGATTAATAACATGTTCGTGTTAGGCGAGTAAGTGATTCAATCAAAATGGATTTTCGCCCTTTTTACCAATATTCTAGCAATATCACATCAGGCTTTGGCATTTTCTGTGTGAGGATATTTACTGAAGGTCATGTAGGTATGTACAGCACGAACTTTTGTAAACATGTACACTGTGGGTCAACATTTTGTTCGCATATGTCTACTAATGCTTGAACAGCCGATTTCATATAGCCATACATTTGTACATGGTTTTTTTATGTGGGTCCATACTGTGAAACAAACGTAACTTGTTTTTATGCAGAAATTCATAAAACACGTTTTCAGACTTTTACTTTGCTTGACTTTGTAAATGTAACATATGGGATATATGTCAGAAACCACTGTTTAAAAATATGACTAATGATTGCTTCACACCCTACTTGAGTGTGATATTTATCTTTCAGTCAACTGTAACGTTTGGTAACATTTGTTCTGAAGTATGATGCAAGAGTAGTTGTTAGGTCCTGGTAGATGAGTATATATGTCTCCCCGCTCTACCTTCACTGTCGGTGTGGAATGAAGTCAATGACGATGCTGCATACAACGTTCATCCTCCTCCTCTGCGTGGAACTCGTCGCAGGTGACTATAATTTCAATTATCTTTATGAAATTGTCATAATGTGTTTGTTGAAGATGTTAACTTTTTAACCAGTAGTTGTGTGCGCCATGTTTTTTGAAGCCACCTGTAGTTCACAACAGCATACATTACACTTCCAACAAAGCACAATAGTGATGCCATAATTTATTAGCACAATTGTTTTTAAATCTATCGTAACCAGGTTTGAACTATTGAGGTCACAATACAATATTTCAACCATGTTTGCACTTGTTTCGTAAATCAAAAGATGTTATCAGTTGTGTTATGAACCAAAGGTTGTTTTCTTCTTACAAACTTCTTATGAACTCGTGGGCTATCTTAGGGGGGTTGGGTTTGTTGTTGGACGCCATATTCAGCAATATTCAACCTATATGGCGGCGGACCAGACAAACCAGTGATTGATATCATGAACAACAATCCATGTCTTTTGATTATGATGGCATGCACCAACCATGTGACGGGGCCTGACCACCAGATCATTTAGTTGCCTTTTACGACCATCATAGGTAATGGAGGACCAGGAATTGCTGATGATAATCTCAGAAAATGATATGGATTGTCGAAATTTAGCAAAGGTTGAATACCTAACGAACTTGGTCAATAAAAACAAAATTCAAGTCATTTCACATCACAGCTTTTATGTTTCTTTTTTAGAAGTTGATCTAAATATTGTACGTATGTAGTTTTGTCAAACGCATTCAATGACACATAAACAGTTGAGGAAGCAAAGTAAAATGACTTGAGGGTCACACAACTAGTAGGTATATCTTGTATATAATAATTGTAAGAACTGAAGTGGAAGCAATTTGTCGTTCACACAGCGATGAGTTGCATACACCTCGTGTCTCGCGAGACATGTTTTTGTTACTACTGAAACATATTTGAAGTATTGAACTTTGTATGAGAATTATGACCAAATGACAACCAGCCTACCTCTGACATGATGGATATGTGACGTACATCTCTTACTTCATGGTATAAACACTTAATTGCAAAATAAGAACACATTAAAGAGAAATTGTGCTAAATGTTGTCGATGATTCTGTAATGCATAAAAATAACTTCAATGTGGCAACTTTTAATTGCACATAGATGAACATATTGCGTGATGTATGTTTGTATTTGACTGTTTTACATAAACTGTGAGAACCACAATATTACCCTATGTCTGAAATACACAATGACATATGTTAGCAATTTCTTATGATTTACTTTACTCATTCGATATGAACAATAACTTGATGCAGAGAGATGTACACACGCTCAATGAAGAAGGGCAAGACTGCGCTGAGCTACGGTAGCCCATTGTAACTCGGTTGTTGTATCTCACAATATATTTCGTATTTGTTTGATCATGAGTGATCAAACTTTTCCACGCAAATATTGATATTGAAATCAATCAATTAATCAATCAGTTTATTCGGTAATAAGGCCTCAGGCCCACGTACATATATATACAAATTAGTTTCACATCAAGTGCTGCATGAAATAATATTTACAGGTAAGAAGAACGAAGACAGATAGCATTTTTAACATAATTGGCTAAGTTCTCAAGGCGGTTTACATCAGAAGAGTTTAACATTCTAACCAGTGTGTCTTTACGATTATTACCAGTAATGAAGTCTAAATATGGGAAATATTTTGAGCGAATATCTTCATAAATGGGGCAAACAAGAATGAAATGAATTTCATTTTCAACTGCCCTTAACTTGCACAATGGACAAAACCGGAGTGTCTTATCGATGCCATCCCTCCTTCCTGTGTTATGCATAATTCCCAGTTCTCCAATACGTAAAAGGGTAAGCATACGTCGCTTTTCTTTTGATAATACATTTAATAGATACGGTTCAAGTGATAATGATGTCTTAAATAATGAATACAGTTCTAATTTCGAGCATCCAGACAATTCAGAATACCATGTTTGTGCATGACAGTCCTTAACCCTCAGTCTAAACTCACTTATAAAATATTCAGGATCACCAACACCTTGAAATTCCCACACATGTCCGAAGCCATGAGAATGTAACATAGTCTTAATAGCCGAAACCCATGTATTCCTACCAAAGGCATCAAACCTAACTCACATATCGTAAACCCGTTTTGGAAATCTCTCTTGAGACATATTAAGAAGCTTAAACCAGTATCTTAAACATCTTGTGTAAGAATCAATATAAATACCGTATCGACCACACTCTCCGAGCACTGCAACATTTGTAGATTTGGAACCGATACCCAAAACAAATTTACAAAACTTTGCTTGGAAACGTTCGAGAAACAACCATTTATGAAACCCCCAAATCTCTGAACCATATAAAATAATAGGTTTAATCTGAGAGTCGAACATTTTAAACAACACTTTGGGAGCGATATTTCGAAGTTTATAACTAAGCTGTTTTATAGGAATTAAAGCTTTACTTGCTTTCAAAACTAGTGTCTGAACTGTTTTCGACCAACACAGCCTGTTTGAAAATATAATACCCAAATAACTGTAATATGTAGAAGCCTTGACAGGCATACGCCCCAGTTTCCATTTCTCGTAGTTCCTTAACTTACCACCATTACGAAAAACTAAGATATCAGTTTTATCCATGTTAACTTTTAGACCCCATTTGTTACAAAATTTGTGTAAAACATCAATCTTCTTCTGTAGTTCAAGAACTGAATCTGCAAAAATACACAAGTCATCCGCATATAAGAGAAGAACCAATTCCAGTAAATCCTCGTGTACAAATATCCCTCTACCACCACACTGCTGGATGTCCTCTTCCAACTGGTTTATGAATAACGAAAACAAAAGAGGACTTAAAACGCACCCTTGTCGCACACCACTGAGACTGTAAAAATAATCTGAGATGCTACTCTTTGAAATTTTAACACAAGTGAGAGTTTTAGAATAAATGTCCTGTATGATAGTAAATAGTTTCCCATGAATTCCTTTTGAATGCAGAACAAACCAAAGAAGATCCCTGTTAATAGAGTCGAAAGCTTTCTGAAAGTCTATGAACATACAGTAAAATCTTCCTTTTGACTTAGACAAATATTTCTGCACTAATGATTGAAGAATAAACATGTTATCCACTGTGGAATATCCTTTTTGGAAGCCAGCCTGACATTCCGGGAGCTTATCATATAACTTAACAAAATGCTTTAATCTATTATTCAAAACCTGGATAAAAACCTTACCACAAATATCCATCAAGGAAATGCCTCTATAATTGTTAACAACATGAACATTACCTTTCTTATGGAGAGGGAAGATAATACTTTTAGACCATTGATCTGGAAAACTACCTCTGCATAGAATGTTGTTAAAAAGAACTAGAACATGTGGAATTAAAACATCACTGCCATACTTTATCATCTCTGGTAAAATACCATCAGGACCAGCTGCTGATATTGAAATGGACACTAACAAAAGAAAGTTACATTATATATTCCCATAATTTCCTTCGCAGCATTACAAATATTGGATAAAAAGAACAGAATGGTAGTTTATTTTCGATGCAAGAGAAAACTTGCTGTGAAAAATGTCTTGAATTGACAGATAAATAGATTGGTTGTTCGTTGATATTGATTTGACAAGTCACGCATCGTCAATGTTTGTTGCTTAAATCAAATACTATAAATTACACAATCTTATCATACAAAGTGAGCATCTGTTCCTATAACTTTTGTGATTAAACTTGCTGCATCCTTTGACCATACAAAACAATTTTAAAATTCAAATCTAAACTTGTGGATATATTTAATCAAATGTGGCCAGTTTCATCCGAGGAATATTGAAAACAAAATACTGTCACCGCTGTGCGCGATGTTGCGTCCATCACGGCGGTACAGGTCAAGATTCTTTCTCAGTTTTTCCAATCATTGTGATACATAACTATTATTAATTCCTCAATTCTTGGAAAGATTTTTCACTCATGCATATTCTTCAAAAACCACCATGGAAAATGGAACCCTGGTACTAGCAGAAAATGCAAAAGGGTGTTAAATGGGAGGTTTGAAACGTTTACATTTTCAAACGAGATTTCAGAGCATGGGTTTGTTTTCATTCTTGATTTATGTTGATTTCATGTCGGCCCTGTGTCAAAGTCGCACTGCTTGCTTAGAAAGCGTACATGTGAATATCATGTGGTCTTGACACACATATAACTTGTCGCATGATGAGAGAACATGTCTTATGCAACCAACAAGTAGCATACTTTGATGGCCGAGGGGGAACTTCGCTTTGTCGCCCTCAATTACGGCCTTGAGAAAGCAATAGCACGAGACGAGAAAGCTATAATACGAGACGAGAAAGCGATAACACGATACGGGAAAGCGATACCGTGAGATGAGAAAGGAATATCCGAGAAAGCAAAAGAGAGATAGAACGAGAAAGTGATATAAAGAAATCTGTATTCTACTGTTTACATTCTGTGCTGAAGTCATTTAATCTCAACTCATGCATTACGTACTTTACCAATACGGCACACATAAAGATTAGCACACACCATGCCCCTCCCCATCAAGTATTTATTTGTCTGTATTGAAATCTGTGTTTTTTCTGTGTATTTGTAGGTAGAGGAGCGATGTTCACTCGGTGGGGAAAAACAACATGTCCGTCTGGAAATGATGTCATGTATAAAGGTAAAATATTTCAAGATATACGTTTTCTAAAAGTTAAAAGGGGTAAATCACTTAGTCAGATGGTTTTGCTGTTTATGTTTATAGAATGGTAAAATCTCCTGCATAAGTGATCTTTCAAATCGAGAATTTGAAAAGCTCTTTTTTGTCTAGCTTGGTTGGAAAATATGCAGTTAACTCGAAAAGGCCTGTATTGAATCTACTCTGTTACATGACATTTATGCAAAACGAAAATTAATCATATGTGTACAGTGCGTATAACTGTACACGTGCAGACTTCATTTTCATGTGGCAGTGCTACTTTTCTTGGAGAATGAAGTTATCCATATTCCACTGTTCGTTAAAACAATTTCGAT